TGCCATAACTTGGTATCCATAAAGGACCAGGATCCAGTATGCCTAATGTTCAGAGTAGGAGTCACAGTGTGAAGGTGGATTAGCAGGGTCTGGTGCTGGGTAACCACACATCCTCTGGCGTTGAGCACCAGCGTTTGCGCGGCCACATACCAGAACCCTGATGCAGCTACAGCGGATGCCAAGAACTAGGAGCTTGATATGCAGACCTCCCATGAACATGTATCCAGTACAGAAACAAGGCAAGGCTAGGATAGTCACCAAACATGTAAACAAGACAGAACTAATAGAACCCAGAACCAGAGCAGGACAGAAAGCAGAACCCAGAACATGTACACAAGACATGAGGAAAAGAAGAACAGGGACTGTACATGAACTGGGATTGCAAAATAAAACAAGACAAGATATAATAGGCAAAACAAGAGGAGACATAACTAAGCACTATATATGAAAAGTATGGGGATTTAGTTACATTATATGATCATACATTGCATAAGCCTACCACAACGCCAATGTACCCCATATTCGGCAGGTCATACACTGCCTAATGTTCGCTAAAAGAACCATACTAAACCACAATAGCACTTACCTGCAAGAAAGAGCAGAGAATTGAAACTCTGCTGCAGGTCCAGGCTGAAACAAAAGGAAAATGGAAAACAAACAGATATGGCAACATAAAACAAACATATAAATGAATCCAGAAGACTGGGAATTCCAGCGACGGAATAATGGAATGAACCCAGAAAACCTAGCATAAGGAAAACCAGACATGGAATAGAAAACCAAAAAAACAATAAAAACTAAACAAGAATTGTAAAAAGAGTACTGGATACCAGAAGCCATCACCAGACTGATCCGCAGAACAAGGCATGTTGTGACAGTATGCAAGACTTATCTGGTACTCCTCAATGACTGTATTCATTGAGGAAAGTCATATGTCAGAAGCTGATCCTCCAAGTGAACTTCTTACAAAATCCCTGTAAAAAATAATAACTAGACATATTGTTCTTTAACTATATTTCTAAAAATTATATACATCAAAACAGGGGTCTATATAACTCCCCACGTTAACAAACTGAAATATTTTACATCATTTACCTCATAAACCATGAAGAGTTCAAGAAAAAAAAATATAAACGGTAGATAAATGAATAAAATGTTTTCCTTTCATGTGTGGATCTTGGAAGCTGGTAAAAGATATTGTGTAATACGGTAAGATAAGTATAGTCACATGGAGATCATTCACATCCTAGGATGGGGAACAACTGAAAACTGAATTGACCATGAAGTAGAAATTTAATTTCATGATGGTAATCACAAGGCTACCATATGAACCAAGGTTCAAGAAAAGGTCAAAGTGATTAGAGCATCTGCAATTCCCCAGGAGCATACATTGCATGTCAGGCAAATGGAACTGAAACACATAAATATACTAGACAGCATGCCACATATATGTGTGTGTCATATAAAAACCTAATATTCTATAATTTTGATAGCCTATGTTATTAAATAAAAAGATGGGGAGAGGTTAAGTGTTTCACTTTTTATTTATTGGATTATTGGAACTGTAAACAAATTCCTTATATTTCATTAGTGTTTTAACCCCTTAAGGATGGAGCCAAATGTACACGTTGTGAACGAAACAAAACCTGGCATTTGCGCTATATGTCTGTCCAACCGGAATTCACCTCTTTCATATTAAATACACCCACCCTTATTATATATGATTTTATTCAGGAGAAACAGGGCTTTCATTTAATAGCAAATATTTAGCTATGAAACATAATTTAATATGAAAAAAATGGGAGAAAATAAGATTTATTTTTATTTTTTTAGTTCTACATGACATTTTAACGGTCAATGTCATAATACTGTTTGCTTTTACTGAAATAAAATACACATATTTGTATTCAGCAAAGTCTCACGTGTAAAACAGTAGCCCCTATGTACAGGTTTTATGGCATTTTGGGAAGTTACAGGGTCAAATATAGCACGTTACATTTGAAATTGAAATTCGCCAGATTGGTTACGTTGCCTTTGGGACTTTATAGTAGCTCAGGAAAGAAATTTACACCCATAATGGCATATCATTTGCAATAGTAGACAACCCAAGGTATTGCAAATGGGATATGTCCAGTCTTTTTTAGTAGCCATTTGGTCACAAACACTGGCCAAAGTTAGTGTTAGTATTTGTTTGTGTGTGAAAAATGCAAAAAACGCCAATTTTGGCCAGTGTTTCTGACTAAGTGGCTACTAAAAAAGACTGGACATACCCCGTTTGCAATACCTTGGGTTGTCTACTATTGCAAATGGTATGCCATCATAGGGGTAATTTTCATTCTTGGGCTACCATAGGGTCTCAAAGGCAACGTAACCAATCTGGCGAATAGTGATATATACTTATATATTTATGTATATAGATATATATATTAATTCGTTCTACGTGTATTTTGATATAAATATATATCAATATCACAATACAGTTAGAACGAAATAACACATCTATATATATATATATATATATATATATGATCTAAGTATATATATATATATATTTTTTACACTTCTTTAACTTTTATTAATTTCATTTAATTTGATTTCCAGCCAGCAGGGGGACCACCTGTCATTACAGGCAGCCCCCCTGCTGGCAATGCAGGAGGCAGCTATCCCGGCCATGCAGGGGCGGACTGAGAGCCTTTGGGGCCCCCGGGCAAAATTAGATCCCAGGCCCTTTGAAGGCCAAATATATGTGCATTTTAATAAATGTTAAATATAATTCATAATACGGCATTCCTTTGGATGTGTGTATTGTGAAGACCAGTGTATCAATGCATGTTTGTATTTGAGTCTGTGTGAATGCACTTGTGCATGTCTGAATGACTACATGTGCTTTTTTGTATATAGTGTCTGTGTGAATGCATATGTGACAGGTGACAGAGTGTGTGAGGGAGAAGGTGACAGGTGGAAGAGTGTGGGAGGTTGTGACAGGTGGCAGAGTGAGGGGGTACCTGGTGGCAGAGTGAGGGAGGGAGGGGTTGAGTGGTGGCAGAGTGAGGGGGAGACACAGTGAGTGGGGGTGACTGGTGACAGAGTGAGGGAGCGGGTGACTAGTGACAGAGGGAAGGAGAGGGGGAGACTAGTGACAGAGGGAGGGAATGGGAGACTAGTGACAGAGTGAGGGAATGGGTGACTAGTGGCAGAGTGAGGGAGGGAAGGGGTGACTAGTGACAGAGTGAGGGGATGACTGGTGACAGAGTGAGGGGGGGGGGTGACTGTCACCAGTCACCCCATCCCTCTCTCTGTCACTAGTTACTCCCTCCCTAACTCTGTCACTGTGTCACCCACTCCCTCACTCTGTCACTAGTCACCCCCTTACTCTGTCACTGTGTTACCCCCTCCCTCTGTCACTAGTCACCCCCTCCCTCACTCTGTCACTAATCACCCCCTCCCTCCCTAGTCACCCCCTTCCTCACTCTGTCACTAGTCACCCCATCCTTCTCTCTGTCACTAGTCACCCCATCCCTCTCTCTGTCACTAGTCACCCCATCCCTCTCTCTGTCACTAGTCACTCCCTCCCTAACTGTCATTGTGAAGGAAGGAAGGGGTGACTGGTGACAGAGTGAGGGAAGGGATGACTAGTGGCAGAGTGAGGGAAGGAAGGGATGACTGGTGACAGAGTGAGAGAGGGGGTGACTAATGACAGAGTGAGAGAGGGTGTGACTAGTGACAGAGTGAGAGAGGGGGTGACTAGTGACAGAGTGAGAGAGGGTGACTGTCACTAGTCACCCCATCCCTCTCTCTGTCACTAGTCACTCCCTCCCTAACTCTGTCACTGTGTCACCCCGTCGCTCACTCTGTCACTAGTTACCCCCTCTCTCACTATGTCACTAGTCACCCCCTCTCTCACTATGTCACTAGTCACCCCCTCCCTCACTATGTCACCCCCTTCCTCACTCTGTCACTAGTCACCCCCTCTCTCACTCTGTCACTAAGGACAGAGGGGGTGATTAGTGACAGAGTGAGGGAGCAGGTGACACAGTTAGGAGGGAGTGACTAGTGACAGAGGGATGGGGTGACTAGTGACAGTCACCCCTTCCCTCACTCTGTCACTAGTCACTCACTCTGTCACCTGTCACTCCCTCACTCTGTCACTAGAGTGAGGGGGTGACTAGTGACAGAGTGAGGGAAGGAGTGACTAGTGGCACAGTGAGGGAAGGAAGGGGTGACTAGTGACAGAGTGAGGGAGGTGGTGACTGTCACTAGTCACCACCTCCCTCACTGTCACTACTCCCTCCCTCCTTCTGTCACTAGTCACGCCCTCCCTCACTCTGTCACATGTTATCCCCTCCCTCACTCTGTCACCAGTGTCCCTCACTCTAGTGACAGAGTGAGGGAGAGTATTAGTGACAGAGTGAGGAGAGGAGTGACTAGTGACAGTGAGGGAGAGGGTGACTAGTGACAGTGAGGGGTGACGCTGGTGACAGTGAGGGTGACCTAGTGACAGTGAGGGTGACTAGTGACAGTGGGGGTGACTAGTGACATTGGGGGTGACTAGTGACAGTGGGGGTGACTAGTGACAGTGGGGGTGACAGTGGGGGTGACTAGTGACATTGGGGGGTGACTAGTGACAGTGGGGGTGACTAGTGACAGTGGGGGTGACAGTGGGGGTGACTAGACATTGGGGGGTGACTAGTGACAGTGGGGGGGTGACTAGTGACAGTGAGGGGGGGAAGGGGGTGGTTGGTGCCTACCTACATCTCTGCTTCCTCTCCCAGGCTGCTGCTCCATCCCCTCCTGGGCTCTGTGTGAGAGGAGTAAACCGGAAGTGAGGTCACTTCCTGTCCCGCCTCTCCCATCACACAGAGCCGCATGGGAGAGGAAGCAGGAGACCTGGCAGGGAGGGAGAGGAGGTGAAGCTGCCAGGTCTCCATGGGGGGGGGTGACTATCAGAGCGGTAGGTTGTGGGGGCCCCGTGCTGCATCAGGGGCCCCACAACCTATCAATTAAAAAGTTTTATTTTATTATTTTGCCGTTCCAGCTGGAACAAGGCTGTGCTGCCGGGCCCCTGACTGCCTCGGGCCCTCGGTCCATGACCGATATGCCCGAGTGGTCAGTCCGCCCCTGGTGTCAAGCCTTAACATTAGAATTGGAAAGTTATGACATGTTCATGGGTTTTATGGATTTTTATTTGGTCTTTTTTGGGGCTAAAAAAAAAAAGAAGATTTTAGAAAAAAGAAGACATCAAATGGTAATTTTTTATTTTTTTATTTACAGGGATTTAGTTTTCTTGTTACCTCCTCACTATTTGTAGGATGAAGGGGGGTAGGTAGGTCTGTGTTAAAAAAAATGTGGGCCCCCTAGTCACCTGAAGGGAGTATTTACACTTAGCCCCCACTTGTTGCCCATGGGTGGGGGCAGGGGACGACGACAATAGGTCCCCCCCATTTTAATTTAGGGCTCCAACCTGCCGCTCATGTATGGGGCCAGGGGGAGAGGACAATAGGTTCCCCCCACTTATTGTAATTTAGGGCCCCCACCCGTCACTCAGGGGTGGGGGTCGGGGGGAGGACAATAGGTCCCCCCCATTTTCATTTAGGTGACCCTATCTGTCCCGTTTGCTTTTATAGACCCAACTCGCAGGGCACGGGTGGGGGCTCGGGGGGGACACTGTGTACCCCCCGCTAGTTAATAGATGGGCATTTGTTAGGGGGGGCTTTTTCCTTTTTTACAACAGTGAGCAGCCACTGGCTATGTCATGAGTAGGCACATTCGGGGGATTTTTAATCTTCCTTATATTATATATATTATATTGACCCCCACAGAGTGAGAGAGGACATGGGGGCCTTAGGAAGTGGCGGGGAGCACAGTGCTCCCTGACGCTTCTATTTTTTACCTACTACATGGAGAGAGATGCGCGCCCGTAGCACCCACCTTGTAATTAACCAAACGAACGAAGATGTCATTGTCCGTTCATTTTAAATTTCTATTCATTTATTCATCTTTCTGATGAATGAATAGATGAAATTCCCATTTGCATTCTCAACTGTTTAACTGGGCATGCACGGGAATTTCACCGTGCTATCTAGTGTGGGCAGATGACATGTCCCACAGGGACTTAATCTATCCACACAAAGATGGCAGCAACCAGGACCTAGGTACGGGCACAATGTAAAGATTAAAAAATAGGTAATATGGGGGGCTTAGGGGCATTTGGGGGCTGCTAGGGAGACAGATGTAGTGGAATCGGGTTAAAAAACACTGGATTTGGCCATGACAGTGCCGCTTTAATTAATTGGGTGTCCAAAAAAATTACTCTTCAAAAAGGTTTCAGTTTCTTGTGTATAACTATTCCCAATTCGTTTGCCATTTTTGTTTTCCCTAATGATTTTCTCTTTGCAGCAAATGTTATCAAAATGGAGCTGATAATGCTGCACCTGAACCCATCTCAAAAGTTAAACCCTCCACAACCTTTTGGGATACTAGCAGCAGCCATCAGTCTTCCACCCACCAGAAGAAGAGACAGGTGTGGGTCACAAAACTAATTTCATGGAGACAAGGGCAGCACATCAGTATTATTTGAAAGGTAAGTGTGCGTGCAAGGCTGCGTGTATCAGCCTCCGTTATTTTCACTGTATGTGTATGCTTCAATGTGTTTTAGTCACCACTGTCAATGTGTGTGTATGCAGCAGTGCATGTTGGTCACTTGCAGGGTAATTCAGTAAGTTCCAAATTTTTAGAATCTGAATTGTGAAACTGAGGTTTAAAACAGTCCTTTTCGTTCTGTCGGTTTTGTGTTTCCATCCATCCATCTATATCTGTCTTTTAAAATTAAGATAGGGCAGATGTAAGATTTTTTTTTTTTTTTTTTAATGCAGTGTTATGACAGAACAGTGTAGTGGAGATTTTTCACTAAACATCAAATCGTGGTAAGCTGAAAACCAAATAGGACAATTCAGTCTAAGTTAGTCAAGCTATAACTATAGTTTCTTTAGGTCAGTTATTTTTGCATTTTGGTTTTCAATTCTCTACAATTTGCTGTGTAGTAAATAGTCCTAAATATTATGGAATGCAAGATCATACTAAAACAAAGTATACACCTCATTTTACTTACAAGACATCCAAATACTTCACATCTAAAATATTTGTTAATCATGCTTATCAATACACTCATTTATTTAAAAAATGAAAATTAAATATATACTTACGTTTCTGACAGGAGCATTAGTGTGTAGTATGCACAGCCTCCGGGGCGAGATGATTTACTGAATGCTACTTCCTCAAATGATTCACATTGATTGTGTGATTGTGACATGAGCACATTGTTGTTGTTTTTTTTGTACTGTAGGAAACAGAAAGTACTTCAACATTCATAACACCAAGAAGACCACTGCATAGGCATCTATTCTTCTATTTATTGAGTGATACATTAGGAGGAAAGGTTAGGAACACATTTATGAACTAGGAAGTAAAACACTGTATCCAAATATAAATCAATCAATCTGTATATCATCATCATTAACAAAATTAAATAAGGTGCACCAAAAAAAACAAAACCAAAAAACATACTTACAGAGTTGGGAAAATAATTACAAGGTTCACCGGTATTTTATTTGAAGAAAATATAAATTTTTCAGATCTTTACTCAGTTGCACATCCAAATAAATCTTGCTTGAATATTTTCATATTGGGATTTATTGTGAATATTGTTGATATGTACAGTAAATATAATTAATATTAGTCAGATTGAAACATAGAAACATAGAATGTGACGGCAGATAAGAACCATTTGGCCCATCTAGCCTGGCCAATTTTTGAAATACTTACATTAGTCCCTGCTTTTATCTTATAGCTAGGATAGCCTTATGCCTATCCCACGCATGCTGAAACTCCTTTACTGTGTTATCCTCTACCACTTCAGTTGAAAGACTATTCCTTGCATCCACTACCCACTGTATAAGAATATAATAAAATATATAATGAAAGCTGAAAACTATACATAAGGGGTATTGATGCAAATAGGGACTGCAGGACATGCACACACAATACTTTTGAATAATTTGGCACTGTCATCCCGAACTTACCTTTCTTTAATCGATTCCTCTTCTCTCCTTCTGTCAGGATCTGTTCTTCATTTCTTCCTATCTGCTCTAGTTTTCTTTAAAACATAAGACAAAGTAGGGACTACTTGTCTTATGGAGGATTCCTATGCGTGACCATCTGTGGCTAGCGGAGGAGCAAAGTGTGCTTCATTTCCAGTGGTCAGAGAAATTTTAATAATAATAATAATAATAATAATGCCATTTATATAGTGCCAACAGATTCCGTAGTGCTTTACAATATTAAGAGAGGGGGGATGTAACTATAAATAGGACAATAACAAGAAAACTTACAGGAACAATAGGTTGAAGAGGACCCTGCTCAAACGAGCTTACAATCTATAGGAGGTGGGTTATAAGACACATTAGGACGGAAATATCAGTCAAATAGGGTGGGAGTGAAGCAGAGCTGCAGGAGAGAGTAAAGCACTGCCCTCTAGGAGAGAGCAAGAGACAGATATGTAAGGTAGAGGTTACTCTGGGAGGCCATAAGCTTTCCTGAAGAGATGGGTTTTAAGGCCCTTCTTAAATTATTGAAGACTACGGGAGAGTCTGATGGTGGTAGGCAGGCTATTCCATAGGAAAGGAGCCGCCCGCGAGAGGTCCTGCAAGCGTGAGTTAGCCGTACAGGTGCGAGCAGCAGTCAGGAGGTGGTCACGGGCAGAGCAGAGGGAACGAGGAGGAGTATACCTATGGATCAGTGAAGAGATATAAGAGGGGCTAGAATTGTTCAGTGCTTTAAATGTATGGGTTAACACTTTCAATTGACTCCTCTAGAATACAGGGAGCCAATGTAAGAACTGGCAGAGGGGTGAGGTGTGAGAGGACCGACTAGAGAGG